GGGTGGGAAGCTGAGTGAGGTGGGTGGGAGCTGAGTGAGGTGGGTTTGGAAGCTGAGTGAGGTGTGGAAGCTGAGTGAGAGGTGGGTTGGAAGGTGGGTGGGAACTGAGTGAGGGTGGGTTGGAAGGTGGGTGGGAAGCTGAGTGAGGGTGGTTGGAAGCTTAGCGAGGGTGGGTTGGAAGGTGGGTGCGAAGCTGAGTGAGGTGGGTTTGGAAGGTGGGTGGGAAGCTGAGTAGGGTGGTGTGGAAGGTGGGTGGGAAGCATGAGTGAGGTGGGTTGGAAGGTGAGGGTGGGAAGGTGGTGAGGGTGGGTTGGAAGGTGAGGGTGGGTTGGAAGTGGGTGGGAAGTGAGTGAGAATGGTTGGAAGGTGGGTCGGTGGGTGAGTGAAAGGGGGGGTTGGAAGGTGGGTGGGAGGGTGAGGATGGGTTGAAAGGTGGTGGGAGGGTGAGTGAGGGTGGGTTGGAAGGTGGGTGGGAGGGTGAGTAAGGGTTGTTTGGAAGGTGGTGATTGTGGTTGGAAGGTGAGTGGAAGGGTGAGTGAGGTGGGTTGAAAGTGGGTAGGAGGTGAGATGAGTTGGAAGGTGGGTGGGAGGGTTGAATGAGGGTGGGTTGAAAGGTGGGTGAGAGGGTGAGGATGGGTTGGAAGGTGGGTGATTGTGGGTTGGAAGGTGGGTGGGAGGGTGGGTTGGAGTGAGTGAGGGAGGGTGGGAAGATGGGTGGGTTGGAAGGTGGGAGGGGGGTGATGGTGGGTGAGTGGTAAGGTGGACGGGAAGGTGGACGGGAAGGTGGACGGGAAGGTGGGTGGGAAGGTGGACGGGAAGTGGGCGGGGAAGGTGGGCGGGAAGTGGGGCGGTGAAGGTGGACGGGAAGGTGGACGGGAAGGTGGGCGGGAAGGTGGCGGGTGCGGAAGGTGCGGGGGGACGGAAGGTGGGCGGAAGGTGGACGGGAAGGTGGGCGGGAAGGTCGGAGGGGGCGGGAAGGTGGCGGGAAGGTGGGCGGGAAGGTGTGGCGGGGACGAAGGTGGAAGGGAAGGTGGGCGGGAAGTGGACGGGAAGGTGGGCGGGAAGGTGGCGGGAAGGTGGGCGGGAAGGTGGGCGGGAAGGTGGCGGGAAGGTGGGCGGGAAGGTGGACGGGAAGGTGGACGGGAAGGTGGGCGGGAAGGTGGGCGGGAAGGTGGGCGGGAAGTGGACGGGAGGTGGACGGGAAGGTGGACGGGAAGTGGGCGGAAGGTGGACGGGAGGTGGGCGGGAAGGTGGGCGGGAAGGTGGGCGGGAAGGTGGACGGGAGGTGGGCGGGAAGGTGGCGGGAAGGTGGGCGGGAAGGTGGCGGGAAGGTGGCGGGAAGGTGGACGGAAGGTGGGCGGGAAGGTGGGCGGAAGTGCGGGAAGGTGGGCGGGAAGGTGGCGGGAAGGTGGACGGGAAGGTGGGCGGGAAGGTGGGCGGAAGGTGGACGGAAGGTGGGCGGGAAGGTGGAGCGGGAAGGTGGACGGGAAGGTGGGCGGGAAGGTGGGCGGGAAGGTGGGCGGGAAGGTGGACGGGAAGGTGGGCGGAAGGTGGCGGGAAGGTGGCGGGAAGGTGGGCGGGAAGGTGGACGGGAAGTGGGCGGGAAGGTGGCGGGAGGTGGCGGGAAGTGGGCGGGAAGGTGGGCGGGAGGTGGGCGGGAAGGTTTGGGGGGGGGAAGGTGGGCGGGAAGGTGGCGGGAAGGTGGAAGGAAGGGGCGGGAAGGTGGCGGGAAAGGGGGGGGGGGGGGGGCGGGAAGGTGCGGGAAGGGGCAACCCGAAGTTCCCAAAAGGAATTTAAAAAAGACAATCCCCCCGAAAGTTCTATGCGTTGAACTTTTCAATGTGGAGCATCAAGTGTGGAACTTTTCAATAGATGGAACTTGTAATTTTTCAGTGTGTTGAAGCTCTCATGTATTGACTTTAATGGTTGTCAATGTCCCGGAACTTTCAATGTTGGGAAAACATAGGACCACCCCATCCTTAAACTTTTAAAATTCAAAAATTTTTTTTGAAAAGGATCTCTTTAAATATTTTTGGAAAATTTTTCTAAAACTTTTCAATGTGGAACTCTTCAAATATCGAATTTTTTAAAACTTTTCAATAATCGGGTTTGTTAAAAATTTTTTAATACATGGAATGTTAAAACTTTTCAATACCGGAATTTGTTAAAACTTTCAATACATCGGAATTTTTTTAAAACTTTTCAATACATCGGAATTTTTTAAAAAACTTTCAATACATCGGAATTTTTTAAAATTTTAAATTTGGGGAACTCTTGAAAATAACGGAACTTACTTTAAAAACCTTTTAATTTTTTACTTTGAATTATTGAGATTTTTGCATCGATCATTTGTTTGGGCTTAAAAAAATTTTTTACTAAATTTGGGTGGGGGGTAGAAAAAAACCCCACCACTAAAAAATAATTCAAATTCCGAAATCACTGTAAACATTTTCCCATCCCCCAAAATTTTTAAATTAAGTTAAAGTGAGATTTTTTTACCCTCCTTCGGGGTCAAAAAATTTTAAACGTATCCCCGATTAGTCATTTATTTCTTTTTAAAGGTTATTTCCCTGTAAAATTTAATGGTAAAATTCCCGGAGGGACAAAGGGGGGACAACTAATGTAACGCTTCTTTGTGGGAGGCGAAACGTTGCCAAAGAAAAAATTTTCCCCCTTATTTTGCACGTGTGCCCATGTACCTAAAAAAATTTTTCTGTTGTGTAAATTTCAGATTTTTTTAATGTAGTTTGTCTCTGAACAGTGAGTCAACTGAAATTTAAAACTGTGATAATGGAATATCGTAATAAGACGTTTGTGAAAATGGGGGTTTATCGTAATAAAACGCTGTAAAAATGTGAATTTTCTAACAAAAGACGCTGTGATAATGTGAATATCGAAAACAAAGCCGCTGTGATAATGTGAATATCGTAACAAAAGACCTGTGAAAATTGGGGAATACGTAACTAAGACCCCGTGATAATGTAAATTTTCGAAAACAAAGCGCGGTGATAATGTGAATTCGTAACAAAGCCTGTGATAATTTTGAATATCAAAAACAAAGACCCCATGCCCCGTCTTACGTTTCCCTATTCCCCTTCTTTGCTGACTCAATTCAACAGTCACAGACTGAAGAATTGAGACACCTTGAAACCTTGGAAATTTTTAAATTAAGAAACATTTCTTCAACTTGTCGGTTTTCAAAACCATTCAAAACGACAGAAAATATATTGTTTTCGAACCTCTGGGAAAGGAACAGGACCAACTTCTGCGGAAAAACTCGGGCAATCTTGAAGCTTTGTTACTGAAAAACCCTTTTAAGGCAACTGTGACAAAAATTCAACCCCAAAAACATTTCATCCCAATGCCACAGGTTAAATAAGCCCAGGGTGAAAATACTGGTATCTTTTTTTCAAAAAGGGTTTCCCCCAACAGAGTAGCCCTTTTTCAGTCAAGTACAGAAAAAATTTACGGGAAGTAGGAAAATGTGAAGATGTAATCGCCCATCCCCTTTGAAGTTTATTTTTAAGGGGGGTCAGCCCTAACTCCCTTCACACTCTACTACTTCTGCTAACTCTTCTGTACTCAAATGAAGAAGCCTACTTGTGGGACAAAACTTTTCGAATAAAGATACCTCACGTTCCCCAATTGTTTTATGATAAACCAGAAGTTCTACAGTCTTTCCAGTTCCTTCGCCTGGAGAAGCCAGAAAATTTCCCAAAATAAACCCCCTTTTTTCATAACTTAAAAAGTTGGTTCCAAATAAAAAGATTCTCTGTTTCCAACCCTTTTATTTCTTGTTTCGTGAATTAGTACTTTAAGGGGCAATTGGTATTTCATTCAAAAAGAAATTTTTCTTTTCCCCGTTTTTTAAAGTTGGTGAACGCGTTCAATTTTGCCTTTGCAAGCTTAAACCCTTTTTTAAAAAATTTTGCCCTTGTTATTGGCAGATCAGGGCCCCTATGGTCCCTTTAAGCAGTTGTTACCACCTGTTTTGTATGTGTATTCAGCTAATCCAAAACCCTGTAAAATGGAATCCTTTTTTTAAAAAAGGGTTTTGTTGTAAGCCCGTGCAGTTGCAGCACCGAGTTTTTCTTTCCTGTTAAGCACTTTTTCTTTGCATTTTGATTTTTCCCTTTGAAAACGAGAAAACATGAAATTGGGCGATTTGATCAAACTTTAATGACCCTTTCCCCTGATCCCCCCTTTTCTAAATTTCATTATGTTAATATTCCCCAAAGTTTTTTTGTTCAAGGGTTTTCTTTCACTGTTTCAGAAAATCCCGAGCCTGAAGTGTCCACAGCTCACTTTTTTAAAACGGTGGGGTCGAGGACGCCGTAAAATTTGCATCGCCAAGCTGTCAATGGCAAACTTTTGTATTTTAAAAGTTTTCAAATGTTGTTTGAATCAATTCCTCAATAATTGTTGTTGAAGCCGCAAATGGGAAAACCCGCATAATGAAATTTAAAAAATTTTTACATAAAGGGGTTTTTTTGTTTATTTTTTTCCCACCCTTGTATATTATCACTACCATTTTGTACACCAAAGCGAAAAGTCAGTGACTTCCGTTTTAAAACCCCCTAAGCTGCTTGGTCCCCCCTAAATTTTCCTTTACCTAGACTGTAGCCTCCCCCAAAATTTAAAATTTGGCCCAACTGTAGGCCCCCTCAATTTTTTAAAACTTGACCCAGAATGTAGGCTCCCAATTACAACTGACCTAGACGGGAGGCCTCCCTCAATTTAAAATCTTGACCAGGCTGTAGGCCTCACCAATTTCATCTTAGGCTGAAGGCCCCCTCAAAATTTCATCTCGACCCAGACCGTAGGCCTCCCTCAATTTCTCTTTGGTGAGCCCCCCCCCCAATTAAAATTTTTCCCGTAGGCCCCCCCTCAATTTCATCTTTACCCCAGATGTAGCCTCCCCCAATTTCATATTTACCTAGAAAAGTAGGCCCCCCCTCAATTACATCTTTTTTCTGAGCCTCCCCCCAATTACATCTTACCCAACTTAGGCCCCCAATTACATCTTGACCTAGACTGTAGGCCTCAATTACATCTTTACCAGAGTAGGCCTCACCTTTAATTTTCATCTCGACCTAACTTAGGCCCCCCCTCAATTAAACTCGACCTAGACTTTTAGGCCCCCCCAATTACCTCTTAAAGGGTGTAGGCCCCCCCTCAAATTTCATCTTTTTCTGGGAGGCCTCCCTCCCCCCAAAAAACATCTTGAACCCCAGACTGTAGGCCTCCGTCAATTTCATCTTGACCAGAATGCAGGCCCCGTCAATTTCATCTTGACCCAAAAATGTAGGCCCCCGTCCCAAAAAAAATCTTGACCTGAAATTTAGGGCCCCCGTCAATTTCATCTTTACCCAAATTTAGGCTCGCATTACCTCTTGACCTAGAAATATAGGCCTCCGTCAAATTTCCTCTTTACCCAGACCGTAGGGCCCCCGTCAGTTTCATCCCTTTACCTAGACTATAGGCCCCCGTCAATTTCCCCTTGACATAGAAAAGTAAAGGCCCCCGTTTAGTTTTTCTTGACCCAGACTATAGGCCCCGCAATTACCGCTTGACCCAGAATTTGGGCCCCCGTTTTTTTTTTACATCTTGACCAGAATGTAGGGGCCCCCCGTCAATTACCTCTTGACCCGAATGAGGCCTCCGTCAATTACATCTTACCTAAATGAAAGGGCCCCGTCAAATTCATCTTGACCTAGAATGTGGCCCAGGTCAATTACATCTTGCCCAGAATGTAAAGGGCCCCAGGTCCAAATTTCATCTTGCCCCAGAATGTAGGGCCCCCCGTCAATTTCATTCTTGACCTAGACTGAGGCCTCCCCTCAATTACATTTTGGACCTTTGAAATTTGGCCTCCCTCCCAAATTTCAACTCGACCTAGAATGTAAGGGCCCCCGCCCAAATTCATTTTTGGGCCTAGAATGTAGGCCCCCGTCCCAATTACATCTGGACCTAGACTGTTGGCCTCCGTAAAATTTCATCTGGACCAGACTGTAGGCCTACGTCAATTACATCTGGACCTAAAACGTAGGCCTCAATTTTCACTCGGAAACCCGAATGTAAAAGGGCCCCCCTCAAATTTCATTTTTCGACCTAGAATGTAGGCCCCCCGTCAAAATTTCATTTTTTTTTCGGAAAAAACTTTTTAAAATTTGGCCCCCTCAAAAATTCATCTTTTTCCCAGACTGTAGGCCTCCGTCCAAATTTCATCTTGACCCCAGAATGTAGGCCTCCCTCAATTACATCTTTAGTAGACTGTAGAAATCCGCAATTACATCTTGACCCAGACTGTAGGCCCCTCAATTACACTGGACCTAACTGTGGCCTCCGTCAAAATTAAACAGGGGCCCAGACTGTTTGCCTCCCTCTTTTTCAAGTGGACCTAGACTGTTTGGCCCCCGTCCCCGTTTCCCTCGGGCCTAGATATAGGGGCCCCCGTCAAATTTCCGCTTTACCTAGAATGTAGGCCTCCGTCATTACATTTGACCCAGAATTTTAGGCCTCCGTCATTACAAACTTGCCTAGAAAGTAGGCCTCCTCAACTACAAATTTGGGCCTAGCTACAGGCCCCCGTCGTTACATGGGAAAGTAGAGTACAGGCCCCCGTCGTTCTTTTGGAGTAGAAATACAGGCCTCCGTCATTACATGGGGACGTAGGGTTTCAAGGGCCCCCGTCAGGTTTCATGTGGACGGGTAGAGTACAGGCCCCCCGTCAGTTTCATTGGACGAAAAAGTACAGGCCCCCGCCCGTTACTGTGGACGTAAGTACAGGCCTCCGTCATTACAGGGGGACGTAGAGTACAGGCCCCCCGTCAGTTCCCGTTTGGGCGTAGAGTAAAAGGGCCCCCGGGAGTTACTTTTGGGGGTAGAGTACAGGGCCCCCTCAAATTACATGTGGCGTAGAGTAAGGCCCCATCGGGTTTCATGTGGACGTAGAGTACAGGCCTCCCTCAGTTACATGTGGGCGTAGAGTAAAGGCCCCCGTCATTTACATTTTCGTAGAGTAGGGGCCTCCACAGTTCATGTGGACGTAGGACAGGCCTCCGTCAGTTCATGGGGAGTGGGTACGGGCCTCCTCATTACATTGGACGTAGAGTACGGGGCCTCCATCAGTTACTGTGGACGTAGGTACGGGTTTCCCATAGTTAAAATGTGGCGTAGAGTACGGCCTCTCAGTTACATGTGGACGTAAGTACAGGCCTCCACATTTACATGTGGACGTAGAGTACGGGCCCTCCACTTTTACATGTGGACGTAGAGTACAGGCCTCCGTCATTACATGGGACTAGAGTACGGCCTCTCAGTTAATGTGGACGTAGAGTACGGGCCCCTCCGTCATTTACTGTGGACGTAGAGTACGGGCCTCCGTCATTTAAATGTGGACGAGAGTACAGGCCCCATCAGTTACATGGGGACGTAGGGGCAGGTTTCCTCAGTTAAGGGTGGACGTAGATACAGGCCTCCATCAGTTAATGTGGCGTAGATCGGGCCTCCATCAGTTAATGGGGAGTAGAGTACGGGCCTCCATCATTACTTTGTGGACGTAGAGTACAGGCCCCGTCAGTTACATGGGGACGTAGAGTACAGGCCTCCATCAGTTACATGTGGACGTAGAGTACAGGCCTCCATCAGTTACATGTGGACGTAGGTACGGGCCCCGTCATTAATGTGGATAGAGTACAGGCCTCCTTTCAGTTACATGGGACTTAAGTACGGGCCCTCCGTCATTTTACTGGGACGTGAGTCAGGCCTCCATCAGTTACATGGGACTTTGGGGAGTCAGGCCCCCTTAGTTCATGTGGCGTAGAGTCAGGCCCCCTCAGTTCATGTGGACTAGAGTACGGGCCCTCCATCAGTTAATTGGACGTAGGTACAGGCCTCCGTCTTTAAGTGGGACGTAGAGAAACGGGCCCCGTCATTACATGTGGAGTAGAGTACGGGCCTCCATCGTTCATGGGGCGTGAGTACGGGGCTTCCATCAGTTACATTGGACGTAGAGTCGGCCCTCCTCATTAATGTGGACGTAGAGTCGGCCCCATCAGTTACATTGGACGTAAGTACGGCCCCCATAGTTACATGTGGAGTGAGTTAAGGCCTCCGTCAGTTAATGGGGACGTAGAGTACAGGCCTCCGTCATTTTACTGTGGACGTAGATACAGGCCTCCGTCATTTAATGTGGAGTAGAGTACAGGCCTCCGTCATTACATGTGGACGTAGAGTACAGGCCTCCGCAGTTACATGTGGACGTAGAGTACGGGCCCCCCGCAGTTACATGTGGACTTTAAGTAAGGCCTCCGTAGTTAAGGGACTAAGTACGGGTCCGTCGTTACATGTGGCGTAGGAAAGGGCCTCCGTCATTACATGTGGACGTAGAGTACGGCCCCCGTCAGTTACATGTGGACTTTAAGTAAGGCCTCCGCCCGTTACTTTGTGGACGTGAGTACAGGCCTCCACAGTTACATGTGGACGTAGAGTACAGGCCTCCATCAGTTACATGGGACGTGGGTACAGGCCTCCTCGTTCATGTGGACGTAGAGTACGGGCCTCCGTCAGTTCATGGGGGTAGAGTCAGGCCTCCTCAGTACATGTGGACGTAGAGAAAGGGCCCTCCATCGTTACATGTGGACGTAAGTACGGGTTTCCCTTCATTTCATGTGGACGTAGAGTAAGGCCCCCATCAGTTACATGTGGACGAAGTACAGGCCTCCATCATTACATGTGGCGTAGATAAGGCCTCCTCATTACATGGGGACTTTAGATACAGGCCTCCGTCAGTTACATGGGACGTGGGTACAGGCCTCCGTCAGTTACATGTGGACGTAGAGTACGGGCCCCGTCTTTACATTGGCGTAGATACGGCCTCCTCGTTACTTTGGGGGACGTAGAGTACAGGCCTCCGTCATTACATGTGGGTAGGGGTACGGCCCTCCGTCAGTTACTGTGGCGTAGAGTAAGGCCTCCATCAGTTCACGTGGACGTAGAGTACACCCTCCGTCAGTTACAGTGGACGTAAGTACGGGCCCCCTCAGTTACAGTGGACGTAGAGTACGGGCCCTTTCCGTCAGTTACAGGGGGACGTAGAGTACAGGCCTCCGTCAGTTACATGTGGGAGAGTACGGCCCCCATCGTTACATTGGACGTAGAGTACGGGCCCCATCGTTCAGGGACGTAGAGTACGGGCCTCCATCAGTTACATGTGGACGTGAGTACGGGCCTCCGTCATTACATGTGGGTAAGTACGGCCTCCATCAGTTACTGTGGACGTAGAGTACAGGCCCCGTCAGTTACATGTGGACGTAGGTACGGGCCCTCCGCATTTACATGGGGACGTAAAATTTCGGCCCCCGCAGTTACTGTGGCGTAGAGTACAGCCTCCGTCAGTTACTGTGGCGTAGAGTACGGGCCCTCCGTCGTTCATGTGGACGTGGGTACAGGCCTCCGTCAGTTACATGTGGACGTAGAGTACGGCCTCCATCAGTTACATGGGGGACGTAGGGGACAGGCCTCCATCGTTACATGTGGAGTAGATAAGGCCTCCATCATTACATGGGGACGTGAGTACGGGCCCCTCCGTCCCCTTACATGTGGACGTAGAGTACAGGCCTCCGTCAGTTACATGTGGACGTAGAGTACAGGCCCTCCATCAGTTACATGTGGGACGTAGATACAGGCCTCCGTAAAGTTACATGTGGACGTAGAGTACAGGCCTCCGTCAGTTACATGTGGACGTAGAGTACAGGCCTCCGTCAGTTACATGTGGACGTAGAGTACAGGCCTCCATCAGTTACATGTGGACGTAGAGTACAGGCCTCCATCAGTTACATGGGACGTAGAGTACAGGCCCCCATCCAGTTACATGTGGACGTAGAGTACAGGCCTCCGTCAGTTACATGTGGACGTAGATTTACAGGCCTCCGTCAGTTACATGTGGACGTAGGTACAGGCCTCCATCAGTTACATGGGACGTAGAGTACGGGCCCTCCGTCAGTTACATGTGGACGTAGAGTACAGGCCCCCGTCAGTTACATGTGGACGTTAGAGTACAGGCCTCCATCAGTTACATGTGGAC